CAGCTCAGTGAGAAGCAGTTTGGAGAGAGAATTCAATTTTGGTTATTGGGATGGGTGAGCAGCCTATGGTGCATGCAGTGGCAAGGGACYATTTGGTCCCTCCTCTGTGGCAGCAGCAGGTGATGTGCCTCCTGAGGATGCTTTGAAGAAAGCTTTTCTGGGGGATAACTCTGTWGCCCCTGAGGCAGGAGCACTGTCCATCAGCTCAGAATGGCCACTACTAGCCCCCAGCCCTGGCAGTCACCAGGCTGTCATGGGGATGGGGTGGCTGCACACACTGGGGTGTGATGCTCCTGAGGTGCTGTCTGAAACACTGATGGAGATTTTGGCCTGCCTGAACATCCCTGRTGTTTATTTTGGAAGCTGCTGCTGATTGAGACATTACAGGAAACACTACGTGATTTTGCATTTTCCCCTGTCTCCTTTGGGGAAGAGGGCTCTGGCTCAGGATACGGGCATGGCCGATATCCCCTCTTCCCAAACTGGGACTGTGATGGGGAGACACCGCACGGAGCTGCCCTGCTGGGGAGGTGAGGATGTGGCCGCAGATGWTGCAGGGGCACAGAGACATAAAGAGGGCCTTTCTGTCCCCTCCCAAAACCTCCCAGAATGCCAAAGCTGAGGAGAAGAGGACAAGCCTCAGGTAGAGACTCACAGGTCTTTGCTAGTGCAGTGCTGATCTCCTGACAGGCACAGTGTGTTTTTCCCCCAGGGCTTTACCTTTTGGGATTTGCCATTTCCCCTGGGTTTCCTAGGATGCTCCATTCTCCTCCTGATATTCTGGGTGTTTTCCCCAGGGCTACAATGGGATATCTGTGCTCTGGAGCTGGGATGCCTCACTGCTCTGGTGGGAGCAGGAACACAATGTCTCAGGGTTTTGTTGAATGTCAATAAAATGAAGCAATTCTAACGCACGGGTGAGTCCACACCATGAGCCTCCCTCTGCATCAGTCCTCAGAGGATAAGAATTGCACTGCCTCCAGCTCCCAGCAGCCTCAGCTCTGCAGCTGATGTAGGAGCTGGTTGTTGGGATTTTCCAAACGAAATGCCACAATGGTCTTGGTCCTCTTTTTTTTCAGATGCCTTCTCCCCAGAAATGGGGGTCTGGCAGTGTTTCTACCCACAACTTGGGGGTCTCAACATCAGCCCAGGCTTGTTGRTTTTGGCAGTGAGCTTCCCTTCGGGAACAGGATCTGCCCAAAGGGGTGATGGCTCAGAAAGGCCAAAGAGTGAATTATTGACACCACATCTGTCCCTGCAGGGAGCCATGCCTTGTGTAGATCCTGAGAAGGGATCCAACTGTCCTGTGGGGACAGACCTCCAGCCTGTATCCTGGGGATCTCCATGGCAGTGCTGGAGCTGTATGCCAGCACTGGGGGAGGATGGGGAGGATGGGGAGGATGAGGAGGATGGATGTCTGTGCCCTCCTGTGCTACGTGCACAGCCAGGCCTGGCGAGCAGGTCCGTACTGGCCCCACGGCTCTGGCAGTGGTGCACGTCCCGGCTTGGCAGGAGCCTCTTCCACCTGGTTTGGCTGTGCAAACCTCTG